ATATATATATATATATAGCATATAATCAAATGTACTAACGCATACATTAATAAGATACAACAATATAACTGATATTATAAAAGGTGCCTGCCTTGTCATTTTTGTCGCCTAGAAGGGCACCTAGTTGCTAAAGGCGTTTGGGCGAGGCGCCCAGCCAAGGGCACCTAGGCCCGCCTAGGCGACGCCTTGACAACCATGGGTTAGGCATAAGGAAGTTGAAATGTTTTAATTCTGCTCTCCTCTACAAGTGGATTTGGAGATTTGTAGCAGAAAATGATGCCTCTTGGAAGTTAAAATACCTTTCTTTTGGGGGTAGGGTGACTCTGATTAAGAGTACTCTCTCCAATTTACCCACCTATTTCCTGTCTCTTTTTTCTATTCCAAACAATGTTGCAAATCAGCTTGAAAAGCTTCAAAGGAGTTTTCTTTGGAGAGGTTGGGAGGAGGAGAAAAAAGTGCATTTGGTGAGNTCTATTCCAAACAATGTTGCAAATCAGCTTGAAAAGCTTCAAAGGAGTTTTCTTTGGAGAGGTTGGGAGGAGGAGAAAAAAGTGCATTTGGTGAGTTGGGAGCAAGTCTGCCTCCCCAAAGATGAAGGGGGGTTAGGCATAAGGAAGTTGAAATCTTTTAATTCTGCTCTCCTCTGCAAGTGGGTTTGGAGATTTGTAGCAGAAAATGATGCCTGGTGGAGATCTCCCATTGCTAGCAAATATGGTGTGGAATGGGGTAATTGGAGAACGAGGGACCCTCCTCCCAATTGGGGTAACTCTTTGTGGAGAGGGATAATGAAGAAATTTTCAGCTCCGGCTGCTGGGGTCTCAATTAAAGTTTGCAATGGTATTAGGACCAAATTCTGGAAGGACTCTTGGTGCTCATATGAACCCCTTGCTGATTCCTTTCCTCTCCTCTTCCAGTGTGCTTCGAATCAAGAGGCTTCAGTTGCAGAGTGCTATAGTGTATCTGGTGGTTCAGTTCATTGGTCTCCTTCATTTAGAAGGAACCTTTTTGATTGGGAGGTGGCTGGGGTTTTGAATCTGTTGACCTGTCTTCAGAATCATGAGCTGGAGTACAGTTCAGAGGATAAGTGGCAGTGGAAGTGGAACTCAGATGGTGTGTTCTCTGTCAAGTCTCTGGCTTCTAACCTCTGTAGTAGTGGTGTTCCTGATTTCCTTGGCTGTCAAGTGTGGAATCCCACCAGCCCAACTAAATCTAACTTCCTAGTTTGGACTATGGCTCTTAATAAAAGTCTTACTAGAGCTAACCTTGTGAGAAGGGGCATTCAGATTTTGGACCTGTCGTGCAGTCTATGTGGGAGTAGTGCTGAATCCACTGACCATTTGTGCATCAACTGCCCGTTTTCTGCTCAGCCGTGGAGTCATTTCCTCAGCTCCATGAACTTAAGTTGGGTTATGCCGAGGTCGGTTAAGGAGCTGTTGTGTTGCTGGAAGCTCATGGGTTTGAGCAAGAAAAAGAAGGCTGTTTGGAAGACGATTCCAATTGCTGTGTTTTGGCCCATCTGGTCTGAGAGGAATAGAAGGATATTCTGTAACAAGGCTTTAAGTCCGGAAGAGCTAATTCAGAAAACAGTGGGCAAACTGATGTCTTGGGTGTCTGTGTCTGAGGATTTCAGAAATTGTAATGTGTCAGCTATTTTTCTTTCTAGTTCCTGGTGGAATGTGTAATTGCTGATTTGATCAGTTGGCCTTTTCTGGGACCGATCTCAGCCTCCATTGTGTATTTCTTATCTTAATAAATATTACTTTACCTTTTCCAAAAAAATGTAAATTAGGTTGACTGGTGCAGTGGTTTAGCTATCTGGTTGAATGGCTTTTTGACGAAGTCAACTGTTTTTTGTGTATTGATGGGTTAAGTTGGATCAAACGGTCTTGGCCTCTTGGTTGTCAAATGCTTTGATCATCTTGGTCAATGATGGGCTGAAAACATTGGTTAAATTACAGAGTAATTAGAGTGCAAAGATACATTTTTTTTTTAGAAAAGGTAATGTAATTTTATTGATAGAAAATACTAGTACAAAGGCCCCACAACTAACACCTTAGAAGGGGAAACAGCCCAAACATAGCAAAATTACAGATGCCAAAGGCTCCTAGAATTCAGCCCAGTCCCCAACTGAGTAGCCTGAATTCCCTTCATAGTTTTCAAGGCATCTAGGCGATTCTGGGCGACACTGGGGCGCCTAGTCGCCTAGGCGATAAAAATTTTATAATATAAAAATCTGACTTTTGGCTAGTTTCCTATTTTTATATACCATTCAGCATGTATGCTAATTGAAAAAGTAGCAATTCTCTTTATTAAGAACATTAAATTTCCTCTAAAAATGTGGTAAATCATCACATCTAAAAGATAAAAATCTTTTACATATATTAATTTCATTATTTTCAAAAATAATACTACTATAATAAGTATTTAATAGAGAAAATTCATATTAATTAGCAGCTAAAGACGGTTATCAACTTTATATGATAAATATTCAAGATGGAAAGTAAAATAGAAAACAAAAACAAGGATGGAGTTTATGTTTTATTTAATTAGAGAGAAAGAGGATAGAAAAAATAACTTTATTATTATATTCTTTCTTTCCTCTTTCTTTTCTTTCTTTCTTTTTCTCTTCTCAAAACCTTTCGATCTTTTAAATTTCAATAGTAAAACATTAAAACAAAGTATAATTGATATATATATATAGCATATAATAAAATGTATTAACACATACATTAATAAGATACAGCAATATAAATGATATTATAAAAGGCGCCCACCTTGTCATTTTTGTCGCCTAGGTGGGTGCCTAGTTGCTAAAAGTCAAGGCGTTTGGGCGAGGCGCCCAGCCAAGGGCGCCTAGTCGCCTAGGCGACACCTTGACAACTATGATTCCCTTCGAAGCCGAGACCCAAGAAATCAGCTTTCCAAAAGAAATAGCTATCAGGTCTTTCGGATCCTTATAGATATTCTGAAATAATCTATTGTTCCTTTCTGCCCAAATGGTACTGATAACTGCTGCCGGAATGGACATCCACACTACTGAAGCAAGCTTTGACAATCCCTGTAATCCCCAGCTCCACATCATCTCCTTCACCGAAGCTGGCATTGACCAGGCAAGACCCACCGAACCAAGAAAGTGATTCCAAATACTAGCAGAAATTGAGCAGTGCAGAAACAGATGACTGCTATCTTCCACTCCTTGACCACATAACACACACCTCTGATCCTGAATATGAACCCCTCTCTTACATAGGTGGGCTTTAGTTAAACACCTGTCTAGAACTGCCGCCCACACTAGAGCATTGATTTTTGAGGGAGAGGTTGGATTCCAGATTCTGGAGGCAGGCATTTCTTCTGAAGTACTCATTGTCATGTGAGTGGCAAATGGCTTGACTGAGAAGAGGCCATCTGTACTCCAAGTCCAGGACCAGTTGTCTTCTTTGAGCAGATTTAGGGGTTGAAGGGAGAGCAGATCGAGTAGGTCAGCCAGGACAGGAATTTCCCAATCCTGAAAATTCCTTCTGAAAGAGTGCAAAGATACATAGAAAGCTCAAATTTGTCGTTAACTCGGTATTGTGGCCAGAATTGTCCATTTAATGTATGAAGCACTTCTTGTCATAACTCATCTAATGTGTAGGCATGGATGCATGCCCAATATATTTTCAGGTGTGAACCCCAATACTTAAGTCTGATTCCTCTCTCCTATTGAGTTATTTTTACATTTCTTTATTTATTTAACGTAAGATCTGTAGATGGACACAAATGCTACTACAGTAAACAGGGATACGGTTTCTCATTTCTCAAAATCCAAGGCAAACCCAAATATTTCCAACTGATGGTAGTTGATTTTTTTTTTGATCCCTCTCCCCTTTCTTTTTAAAGGCCAAAACTATGGTTACAAAAAGGTGTGAAGGGTTTGTGGTGGCACAAAGAGCAAACACAAAAAGCAAACAAATTAGGACACCATTTTGACACATAATTTCAAAACTATATGCCCAAAATATTGTTTCTATTTATGCCCATACATTTGTAGTTATGCATGCTATATATACTATAAATCTTTGTTTATATATTATATATTATTGTATTTACAGATGCTAGTAACGTAGCTAGGCCATATGAGCATAATTCTCTGGTCTATGTAAGCAGGTGAATGATACTGTGGGAACATTAGCTCTTGGACATTATCATGATGCGGACACTGTTGCTGCAGTGATTATTGGAACAGGCACAAATGCTTGCTATGTGGAGCGGACAGATTCAATTATCAAGTGTCAAGGCCTTCTGACAAAATCTGGAGGCATGGTATCTTTTCTTCGTAGCTCTAATTCATAATGATTTAATAACTGAATTCATGTGCAGTTGTACTGTTTATGTCTCATTCTAAGCCATCTGCTGTTAATCAGGTTGTGAACATGGAATGGGGAAACTTCTGGTCAACCCATCTGCCAAGAACTTCGTACGATATTGATCTAGATAGTGATAGTCCTAACCCAAATGATCAGGCAAGAGCCAGCTACTATTGAAAAACATTTTTTTTTCTCAAACTTGCCTTCCTCATGGATTTAGTGTATGACATGGCCTTGTAATTTTGGCTTCAGGGGTTTGAGAAGATGATATCAGGAATGTATCTGGGTGATATTGTAAGGAGGGTAATGCTTAGGATGTCAAAGGAATCAGATATTTTTGGGGATGCTACATCTAGGCTATCAGTGCCATTTATCTTGAAGTAAGTTTCATTAATAGATTTTTCTTTCTTAATATAAACATCTGGTATATACCCCTGCTCAACATCTAGAGAATCTCATCAATGATAAGCCTATAAATGGGTGAGTGAAACATCGGTCATTATATGGAAATCCTCTTTCTCTTTATATTCCTATAAGTATCTGCAATTTATATTGATGTTGTTTTCTTGTTTTTAATATTCTGATTTCAACATTGCTTCATTTCTATAGGATTCTAAATAACCTGATCTTTAATTGTATTTATTGCTTTTGATAGTTCTTCCTATGACATGAACATTCTTTTCCCCCATTGTCACCCTATATCTTGCCCCTCACTTGATTTGTGTCTTGGTGCTGTGGCTGCAGCTATCTGTTTAAGATCCTTTGTCCTTCCTTTTCTTTTCTGAAGTTCTAAAACCTAGGTCTCAAAGTTGTTCGTAAGGTGCAATGACGCGGTCTAAGCAGCAGTTATTGACACCTTAGGTATCCTGAACTTTACTCTCTATTTCATGATAGGCACAGTTTTTCTTCTATGTTGCTCATTCACAGTACATGACCATTTGCTGTCAGTTAACCTGTGGTTACATGGATTAATATAGAGAGCTGCTGCTTTTCACCTCTGTACCATGCTGATGCAAATCAGCCAGAAGGAATAACTAAGTGATCCAACCTATCTGCTTAGCTGTAACATCAGTTGCAAAGTCTTTGGATAACTTACATGAGAATTTTGTGCGTTCTTTATATGCCACATGAATGAAGTTTATCATCACATGAGAGAATCTTGTGTTGGAGCACCAGGGCCAGGGATTGAGTTCTAAAGAATTTATTCTGATAAAAGATGGTTTGCTGAGCCTGGGCTGTTTTGTACTTGTACCTTGCTATTTTCCCCTTTGGATGGTAAAGTGATTTCTAAGTATGCAATAAAAGTCAAATTTACTATTGACTATCCAAAAAAAAAATGCATGAATGAAGTTTATCGTGACATTAAGTAGTAGAAATAGGACATCAGAATTTTGTATATGATAAATCTAGACAAGTTGGGGAGCATCATGCATGTAATGTAATGTAATACTAGAACCTTTCATTGCATATCATTTTTATATCATCATCATTATTCTTGGAATAGGATAATCATTTCAATCATCTAGTGGCATCTGTATTTCTGTCTATCCACCATCCATGCATGTGATTATACACTATTATACACTATGATATGCTTATAAGTATCCACATGGTTTTATATACAGAATGCAAACTGGGAGTTTTATCACACAAAGACATCTCAGATGCCTGTTTGGTTCATGGGAATAGGGGTCTGGAATGGGCTATTCTGATTCCAACTGTTTGGTTGGATGGAATTGGAATCCCATTCCCATTCCTGCTGGAATGGCCATTCTCTGCCCCTCCCTTAGGAATGAAATCCCATTCCTGCTGATTTCAATTCCCATTCCCATTCATGTCTGAACCAAACAGACTATGGGAATGGCCCATTCCAATTCCGATTCTGGAGGATTTCGATTCCAATTCCAATTCTGATTCTGACTGCGAACCAAACGGACCCTGTGTAAAAGTGCATGAATATTTCTTTGCGTGCATTGCAAATAATTTCAACTATCAAAGTGGCTGAGCTCTCATTCATCTTTGTGATTGAAATGATGAAACAGACCTTTTCAGTGATATTTCTTTGCGTGCATCCTGTGCATTTAATTTCTTAGGTTTCATTTGTTTGTAGTGAAGAATGCAATTTCTGATTTACTTTTTACTTTGGGTTTTATCTATTTTTTGTTTCATTTTTTTTTGTACTTCATTGGTAATGCAAACAAATAAGATGAGGCAAGAGCTGAAACAGAAATGAACCAGAGTTTGCACTCAGATCATTTGTATTCCCATATTTTTGCATCAGATGAAATTGCACTGAAAACAAACTAGGCCTTAGGTTCTTGAGAAAAAAACAAGGATTTTCAACTCATGACAACCAAAAGGGAAGATCAAATAGAATAGCCATCAAAATTCCAAATTCTGACTGATTTTCTTTTAATATTTCTTTCTTAAAAACGATTAAATGACCGTTGCATGATGATTAATCAACTTTGATCTGTTTGCTTTATGTTGGAGAAGTTTTGGCCTAAAGACTCGACATGGACCCAAAAATTTATTCTTAGAAAGATATAAAACCCATATCCAGCCCAATCACAAGAACACTAAAATGGAACTGAAATGAAGCCCATTTTGTCTGCTCATCACACTATTATATTATTATCTCTCTGGGTCTGTGAAGGAGGGCATTTGTTGATAAAAAGCATAGTGTAAAGTTTACCTTTTTGTTGGTTTACTATTACATACCCTGTTGTTGGGTTTGTTTTTTCGTTTTTGCTTTTACCACTCTAGCATAACAGCCTTAGATTTCCTGTGGAAAGGGAAAATGTCCTAGCTAAGAGGGAGAAGAGATAGGGACATGAAACTTGGGCAGGGAGAAGAGATAATAATAATGTACAAGAAAGTCCCTTGTGGTGGGTGGCATGCATAACCATGCTAATTATCAGCTTTTCTTTAAGCGATGGCAATTAGTCTTTTCCTTTTTCTTCTCTCTACATAATAATTTACTGTTCATGCTTAGTTATACCCACCGTCCACATTATTCTCTGTCATGACATTTTGGCATTGACTCCCTTATTGATCACTTCGGGTCAGAATTCTTTTGTAATTTTATTTCTGTTGGTAGTTTGAGAAAGTGAAGCCCATACAGCTTTATGTCTACTAAGATCTACAATTGCAGAAGTATACGCCATGTTTGATAGTATTTAGAAACTTCAGAAGATGAAATATTTGAAAGTTGAGGGCCAAGGGCACGCCTGCCTGGGCGTCACGCATTGTTGCCCCCAAGCTGCTGCATTGACCTGGATATCTAGCATTCAAGTGGTCTGATATGTCAATAGTTATGAAGAAATTCTGCAATGTACTATACGGATTGTAAATGGATGAAACTCATTCTGGACTATGTTAACCTTCCAATTACCATTCAAGTGGTAAAATCATTGGTCCAATAGCTAAGAATTGGAGTATTCTGGATGGACTCCATATATGATTTAGTGGAATCAGATAGAGATCAACTATCAGGCTATTCATCTGAATCTCTTTCTCATTTGATCTAATTCAAACAGGGTAGGCCTGCCTTTAGTGGTTGTTTTGAGTTGTCCATAAATGTAATTGAGACTCAACTGCAAGTGTAGGGAAAGATGTATGGGTTGCAGATATGATAGTAATTTTTTTAACTCTGCATAGATAGTAATTTTTTTTTAACTCTGCATCTTTCCTTGTGCGACTTCTTTTAGAATCCTTCTGTATCTGCTTTGAGTTCTGCATTGTTCTCAACATCATGCGAATAGTATTTCTATTGTTGTTAAACTCTATGGCTTTTGCACAGCTTTTGTTGTACTCCTGACAGTGTAGCCAATGGAATTCTTTTTAACTTGGAAACATTAGATTTGTCCGGGATTATACGTTAAAGGCATTAATCAGGAGTCTATGGATGTCTATTTAATCTTCTTAGAAATCTTGTGTTACGGAGTTGATACCATCTTTAACGACTTAAAGTAGCATCTATTGACAGTTGCACACCAATGTGTTATATTTATTGGATTTACATATCGCCATTGGATTTTATACACTTGGAAAGGCCTTTCCGTTCATTAAATTTACTTTATCTGAATCTCGTAGACAAATATGCAACAAATTTTTACTCGAGTTCTAAATGTATGTATAGGACGCCTCTGATGGCTGCCATGCATGAAGATGATTCTCCTGACTTGAAGGATGTATCAAGAATCTTGAAAGAAACTCTTGAGGTACAATAGTTGTCTACTTTGTTCAGATGTGTTTATTTTTCCTTATACCTTGTATAAAAAATTTCTGTTACAACTTACCTTTTTGTCTGGTTCTGTTTTTTTGGATGAATTTTGTAGTCTGATTCTTTCTCTTTGAATGATAATGATATGCCTTTTTTAGATATCTGATGTCCCACTGAAGGTGAGGAAGCTGATCGTGAGAATATGTGATGTGGTGACCCGGAGGGCTGCCCGATTGGCTGCTGCAGGTATCGTAGGGATCTTGAAGAAAATTGGAAGGGATGGGAGTGGTGGCATTATGAGTGGAAGAACCAAGAGTGGTGAAACATCAAGCAGAAAGAGAAGAACAGTCGTGGCGATAGAGGGTGGTTTGTACACTAGTTATTCCCTATTCAGGGAGTACTTGAATGAAGCTGTGGCTGAGATTTTGGGGGAAGAAATGGCTCCGTATGTTGTCCTCAAGGTTTCAGAAGATGGCTCAGGAATCGGAGCTGCTCTGCTTGCTGCTTCTCATTCTTATCCCAGTATTGGTCCTGTAAACGTTGCCATAAAATGATAAAAAGTATATAGTCTCTTGTAAAAAGAAGAATTCATTTTTCATATTTAAATATATATATATATATATATATATATATATATATATATATATATAT